GGGGATCATTTCATGCCAATATTTACTAAAATATGTATAAAGGGTATAATTCATTGAGACGATGTCTGTCGTCACGCCTTCTTCGGGATCGCTCGAGGGCGTGCCGAAAGCAGCTACGCTAAGATCGACAACCTGAATTTATTTGAGTTCAGGTGATGTATCAATTCCTTCCAGATGAGGACTCCAATAACATTTCGCATTGCTACACTACTTATATTCGGTTTGAGTAGGCGAGTTCTTCTTCGAGAACTTCTGGTAATTTCGACATCTACTCAAACAGAATATAAGTAATTTTCTTCGTCGCCAATCCGACCAGAGAAATGTGATATGGCAAGGGCCTAGGCCTCCTGGAAAGTCACGTCTGCCCTGTCGGCCAAAGGCGCTCGAGGCAGTTTGGCGTTGTGGTTGACAGGTTGAGATCATACGCTTCACTAACCCAACCCGAATTCGAGTCCCGTTGGGGCTACTGGTGGGACCAGTTCAGGCGTGGTCGAAGCTGCAGCCCAGTCCAGTCTAGCCGGGATGAGTCAAGCTTTCAGAAAGTCAGGCTGAGGGAGGGTCAATGGAAACGGGAGGCCTATTAATCTCATCGTGGGCAGACTCAAGTATCAATCTTTCGTCATTTTATGCGAACTTGGTGAATGCACTTTTCGAGCGAATAGACCCAGACCAAAGGGTTTTAAAAAGATGCTCACCAGCGAAACTGTTTTTATTCGGTAGTGGATGCCTTCAGTCTAGGATCCCCTCAAATGTTATTGCCGATCTGCGTAGGACGGTACAGTTGGCCTCAACACCGCATGCGGCTCTGCAAGGTAGATTGATAATGTGACAAACTTGGCAGCCTACTTACCCTTAATAGATGAGGCAGCAGTGAGCATAGTTTCTGGGTTGATTTCTGCCTTCAAGACTCGAAAGCTCGACCTCCTGACACGACAGCAACACCCTTAAGTAGTTGGAGCAGATTAAGTTTTAATCTTGTGGGGATTAGCCGCCATGCTGTTGCGCTAGTGAAGATAGAAACCGAGCGTAATCCATTCTTGGTCCTCATTGGTCGCTTGATCTCCATCCAACTTTGAGTAGCCTAAATCTCCTGCATTGTCTTCCTCTTACTTCAGTCGCTTTTTCAGCATGTCTCCTCTCTTTTACTTTTCCTTTTCTGTACCTTGTTGTCTCTCCCCTGATCATTGCCAATTTCCTCCTTCTTGTCTTCACTTATTTTCCTTTTTTCTTCACCATACGACTTGTCCATTTATTTACATTCCCTTCCTTATTCTCATATAATCTAATGCCACCCAATGTAATCCCTTTCTGCTTCACCACATTCTATTAAGCCGATTTTTTTCATTTCTTCCCCACACTATAACATGCATCACTTCAAGTTTTACTTATATCATACCTGCACAATTTTCATCTGAGTTTCCGGATCACACTATTTTTTACTACATTTGATATAGTCATATATTTGTGTTCGTTTATTTTTTAAATTCATTTTACTATTATTTATTCGAAGGTGTGCTCGCAGTTTCCTTTCGGTCTTCCTACCAGTATGACCAAGTTGCGAAAACAAGACCAAACAATTTCTATATTATTTATTACTACTTACTATGATAAAGTATATTTTAATTCCTTTTACTTAAGCTATTTAATTAGTATCGATATTTAGTGTTATTATTAATTTACGTTAGTATTTATGTCCTCGAGCTTAGCCAATAAACTAATCCTACCAACTTTCTCTTACTTTTTTTCGTTTGCAAGTAGACTTTCGGAACTACTAGTAAATCATTTATATGATGTGTATTCTCTTTTTTTAGTTTTAAGGTGGTAAAGAACTGCTAGTTGAATCTTCCCACAATGATATGAGTAGAGCTGACTTTCCACTGAATTTCACAGAGCCTTGTTTTCCCACAATGTGTTCTCATTCAGGGAAATCAAGACCACGTTAAATTCATTCGAAGCCTCAGGTCTACTCATTTGATTGTAGGAAAATTCAACGACGAGTCCTTCATCACCTTAAACCGAAAAATGCTGAATACATCTCATATTTGTCTTACTTTGTTCGCCTCCAATCTACTCTTTTGTAAGACCTAATTCGACTTGTCTCCGTTCGAAGTACCGAATTGGCCTCGCCTGGTTCTTGCAACCTGTCCATGCTGTCAAGCAGACCTCGAAGGACATGACACGCTTTGATATCTTTTGCCAGCATCTCACTGTTCATTTGCTATATTCTCAAATCAGCCAGAATTGCCATCCTTGACATAAGGCTTCAACTCGTCAGGTTGACAAGCCTTGCCTTGCCGCACCGTCTTTCTTCAACACCCCTAACGGGACTCGAACCCTGTTCTTGCGTCTGCAGTGGCGATATTCTACCACTCAGGGACTTTTGTATCATTACAATCTTCTCACATATCACACTTTGATAGTGTAATTGTCGATGAAACCAAATCGTTCTTTTAATTCCCTTGGTCTGCAATAGATGAGCTCACTTCTGTTTTGAATGAAAGTTTGTGTGAGGAAGAGATTTTAAGGTGTATCCCACCAGAATACAACGGATGACTTCTTATGGCTATCCATTTTAACACTCTGATTAACACTGTCGGTGATATAGTTATATTGGATTTCGGTTAAAATGTGTCAAGCTCCCGTCTTTCATATCATGGAGATCATCAGGGCATCTTCGTTTCCAACGGACCAAACATTCAAATCCAACCAACAATTCCAGTACACCAAGATGGGAAATCAAGAGTATAGTGCATATTGCTTACAATCATATAAGCCAGTAAACTCCATTCAGCCCTGCCTGCTAAAAGGTTTCTTCTAGGTTCATATGTGAGCACTACTAATATCGAAAATAAGTATCTTTGTCAGAAGTGACTTAAAATACAAGTTGCTTGGGCTCACTATCATTTCAAGTGAACATGTGTGCGATGAAAAGATTCCCAGGTCGATCTATCCGTCAGAACATCGCTGCAATCTCCTTTGATTCAAGTGAAAATGTGCCAAGTGTAATCTCTACTAGTGCCTTTCACATGACCGACGATAGCATGGCAATTATTCAGCGGGTTCGTCGGGGATTGCGTCATTCAGAATGTTCCAGAGCTGGTCAAGAGGAATCCTTCATACACCTCGCCTGGCCGACCTTTGAATCTCTTCATCGCACATACCTTCACTCGAAATGTATATTCCGTCTTACTTATTTTCGATATAAGTAGTGCTTGTCTATTAATCTGGATAAAAATGTCAGGAGGCAGATCTGAGTAAAATCGTGGGCAAAAGTGCATTCTTTCCGTTCTTCAAATCACTTCAAAGCCTGACGACAAAGTTCCTCTTCTAAAGTCTCTAATTGAGTCTTGCAATTCTCCATGCCAATGCATCCAAATAGGTCTGCTTGCCTACGACGCCACTCCTCCCGACGAATTCGGCCCTCTGGCACCGCAACCCGGCCCAGGCCAACTGCCCTCCGCCCAGACGACCAGTCCTTTGGCCGAGCGCATTTTCGTCCTCCGGCTCGTCCACCGCCTCCTCCAATTGGCTCCCTCTCGTCTTCCCGACTCCCTCCTCGCCCCGTTACTCTCCGTCGCCGCCGATCCCACCACCAGCCTCGCACGGACTGCCGCAGCCACCGCTCACTCCGGCCTCCGATCGCATCAGCTGATTGGTCTCAATGCTGTTGTCATGGAGACCAGTCTGCGTGCTTGTCTCCTTATTCTTGCCGAATTGGGTCAGTCCTTGAATTGGGTTGCTTTTTCGAAGATATGAACACCAAGTTGGTGTGACCTCTGGTATGATCACAGGGTTGTTTTTTGTTCTCCACTCTTAAAATAAATCAGCCCTTTTGTGGAGAAAGCCTGATTTACTTGAATTAACTAACTCATAAACAGTTGGCTTGTTTTGGTCGACGACATGTAGTACATTTGAGGCTACAGTTGCCAGTTTAGAATGAGGGCTATTGGAATTTGGCGAATCGGGACTGGTTGCGTGTGTGCAAGTGGTTGAATGGTTGAAATGAATAAAATCTATCAGGTTGCCATTGACTCTCATTCAGCTGTTCGTCCCGAAGGGCTTTCGCTCCTGGTCTGGACTGCAATTTCAACCTCGTCTCTTCGCCGCCGCTTCAACCCAAAAGAGATTAGGAGCACGAGCAAGCCATTTCGTCACACAAACGCGAGACTCGGTGGGTCATAGGTCAAATACGACCCTGAGGGTTAACTTCTATTCACCCCTTTCATCGATCAAGTTACTACATACCAAATAAGAAGGCCGAGACCTGAGCTTGTATTCACGAGGCCATGTATGTACAGGACATGTACCAGGAGAGGTGCCTTTGTCTTTCTTTTTCACAAGTTGTCCCGCAGTGCTGACAATTGCGCCCTTCAAGGACGATTCCGAACACGCTGTCGACGAGGCGTCTGAGAATGGAATTGACCGACGATCCGATGCTGGGAGAGACTGTCGTCTTGACAATACGACTATTTCGCGAATAGCCGATCATACTTCACTGAAAACGTGTTCGCTTTATTTAGGAAACTTCCTTACTCTCTTCTTCCTTGTG